TGCAAATTGCATCGTTTTAGAGACGATACAAATATTTTAAATGTGAGCAGTTCCACTAATATGTACTTGAAGTCAATCAATTTCAACTCCACAGATACCTTTAAAGGTGATTTTAATTTTTCTGAGAATTGTGTTACTGAAGATCATTCTTTTGCATTAACAAGCTGTAAACAATTCTCAGACTTTGTTAGTGATGTTGTTGCATACATTGCTGGTAGTGTTGTTAAAAAAAATTGAAAAATGCATTAAAATGTGATACTTGTATATATTTCTCTGTCTGATGTTGGTTTAACAGTTGATTATACACAAAGTAAATTATTAGGTAGAAAAAATAGGGGAGGATTAATAGTTCCATCTGGTAGTGTTGTGAAGATATGTAGAGCAGCTGAGAAATCTTTTCGAACCACCCAAGCTTCGGCAAAACTTAAACAAAAAAAAAAAACATTATGGCTTCATTAATTTCAGATAGTGTTAAATGTGTAATAGAAAACTCTCCAAATATATTTTTAGGCATGCATGAACATATTTTAAATCATGATCCTTTAGATAACCATAGAAGTTCTTTGATAAAAGCCATTCTGTTTGAATACCTGAAAATACGACTGTACTATGCAGGTAAAGTTGAAACAGAAAAACTTCAGAACAAAAAAGTACATAGTGTTAACACAAAAATTACACTTTTTAAGGGACAATAATATTTTATTAATTTAAAAAAGGGGGAATCAGATTTATTCAGCACTTTACTAGCACCTTTATACAGCTACACTATATCTAAAGGATTATAATCTAAAGTATGTATGGATCACATTTTATAATTCCCTTTTTGCTAATTCAAAATCTATAAATGAGCTGAAAATTTGTATACCAGTGTATCTTAGCTAATAATGCAGGAATCAATCCTAATTTTTTAAATTTAAGCTAATGCATAAGAATGATCTGGTAAAGCAGGAATAAAGGGGCAATGAATTCAAACTTACCAAACATTATAAGTATAAGGAATAAAATGGTATTAACTCGTAATGTCAACAGATGGCCTATACTTATAAGTGCCACCTATTTATAACTTGATCACCTCAATATTTGATTGCAGAGTTTTTGCTTTCATAGCAATATCTGTTTAAGATTTTTTAAACTGTTTTTTAGCAACATATCATAACTATAGAATTTTCTTTAATTTATAATGAGGATTAAGTGTGTATTAAGATTTTTAGTAGAAGTTAAATTTAAAAAAAAAAAATCCTTGAAAACAGGCCTTAACTTTTTGTTGCATACAAACAGTATATATATATATATATAGTTTGTCACAAAAACATCAAAACTATATCTGAGTGAACTTTTGCAGGTTTGAATGAGGCTTTCATTATATCTTTACTAGTTTTCACTTTCTATCCTTAAAGGTTTTTTTTTTTTTTTTTTTTGTGAAAAGTTTTATTTAAGCCCTATTTGTTAAAATAAAAGCAGGTATTTTTAATTTGTGTTTATACTGTTTTATGTATTCCTTTTTTAAAAGTAAATATCACATTCTTTATATATCTATAAAGATTTCCATGGTTTAATAATTTAATGGTAAAATAATTTAAATAAATAAAAAAGCATTAATCCATTTAAAACAAAAATATAGTACTTTGTATGAACACCAAACTTTTAAATATGAGCAGGACATGCTTTTCAAACGAAAAGTTTCTTCATCAGATGCAAGTTGGATCCTTTGCAGCTGGTGAAGAGCGAAAACTTTTTATTCAAAACGTGCGTTCTGCTCACGTTTAAAAGATTAGTGTTCATGACAAAGTAGTAGTATATTTTGTTTTACTTAATTTTTGAGTGTTTATTTGTAATTAAGCCACTTACTTTATAGTAAATAGTATATTTAAATACACATTTTTATAATGTGTTTATTTAATTGGGATACAGAAGTAAAACAGAATATGTATTGTCATGTTTGAATTTATAATTCAGAAAGAAAATTTTATTTTGAAAATGTACATTTTACAGCTGATCTGCAAAATATGAAATCTTATTAAATTTAATGTATAGCAGCATGCAGTTAAGGCAGTAGCTTCCAAATTTGCATGAAATTATTTTCTGGACATTGCTGAGTTTATAAGCACTTTAATATGCAAGTAACTGAATAAAATGGGCATAATTACAATTACAATGAAAGATCATTTTAAAAATAAAAAATTCTTTACTATCCTACATTTCCATAATGCAAGTACTATTGCTAACACCGAGAGGTCAAAGGTAAATGAAATTCTTCCAAAAACTATTTCTGACTAAGTAAAATTATGTTTACTTAAATATAAGACACTAAAATATTTTTCTTCAATAAGATTTCAGTATAATTTATTTTTTTTTTGTATCATAAACTGTAAGTTTGGACAGTAACAGTTTATAGTTCCAGCCAAAAGTCAACAGTCTGTAAGAATATATTTCATCAATTGCATAAATACATATATTGCAATGCGATTTTCTCTTTAGGATGCAATGCATTAACGAGATTTTTTTACCCTCTCAAACATTATAACAGTAGTGCAATTAATTTTTAAATGTTATTCAAAATGAAAGTTTCCATGTCAATTTTTTCTTATTTATTTTAGACTTTCTTCCTAAAATTATTTAACCTAAACATCTTAAAAACAGTGCAAATAATTTAAAGCGATTATTAAATTTAATTTATATTTGAAAAATTAAACTACCATTTATAGCAAACAAGTCGCATTTCAGAAAGCAAGGAGCCGTTAAGTAGTTCGCGCTTCGCAGTTTGGATGCACCTGCTATAGATAAACAAATACCCACTCTCCAGAATCTGTAATATGAAGAAACTTAAATATTCCATGGCCCAAGTGCATATAAAAATATGCGCTTAGGTGATTAAACATATCTGGCAAAAATATACAGGGGAAACGAAAGATGCAAATGAATGTGGGAAAACGACGTGTTCAGGTGGGGCAAGGCACTGATTGAGCGATAGGTAAAAGCATTCTGCTCGCATAAATTATTTCCCGTGTGAATTTTGAGCCGTATGCATTTGCAACAACATTGCAGAGCTCGTTGAAATGCATTTCATCTATGAGGCTGAGAGGATAAAAAGGAACAACTACCCAAAGAACGTACTCCAGAACCAATCTTTGTACTTCCTTTGAATAGCAACTCTGTTCTACGAAATAAATAGGATACAATGCATGTTGGCATGCTCCGCATTCCTGTAGCGATGAAATTCTCGCATGAAATGACAAATTAAGCCAGTTTTACTTACCGCTCCACACACAATTTCCACATGTAATTCAATTACAAAATATTTATTTCAGTCCCTTGTACCTGTTTTGATATTTTTAAATCATCTTGTATGCACATAACCACAGCCAAGTTTACACAAATGCTGTTTAGTATTAAACTCTGACAGGTATCTACAACTACTATCATTTCCCTCTATTATTCAACTCCAGTACTTTTCATTTACAAATGTAATATTTGCTGGTTAGATTATTTATAAATCATTCCTTGAGGATATCTACCTTAGGCGAATGCTCTCCAAAGATTTTTCTAAAAGTCCATGACATTTAGGGAGGTGAAATTTAAGTAACCATACTTTCAGACACTGAGACAACCAAAATGATGTTCAAATGCAGATTTATTATAATTATCTAAATCTATTTGCAGAATAAAATGAAAGCATTTTATGAATTTTAGTTTACTGCATGCACAATTCACGTTGTCTTACAATATTATTAAAATTATTTTATTTTCTAAGGAATATAAAACATCTTTGCTCATTGGAACAGTAAATTTGTTACACATAATGAAAACCACAAAAATACATAGAGCCAGGCCATTCAATCATCAGAAACTGAATTTAAGGTCAGCTACAGTCCATCTAAACCTTCCCAACAAAAGTCCAGTTGAACATATACTACCTTATAAATCATAACTAATTTTCAAATTGTGTCTCGCAAATATGCACTGAAATCAAACAAAATTGCAAATGCCTATAGGAATTCAAAAAGACAATTTAGTCTTTCAGCAAGTTTTGTATTCAAGAGTTTACAAACTCTACTATAGCTGTTAACAGCATAGCTCAACTTGAATTTTCAAACATAATTGCAACAGAAATTATAAATAATGGGATTAATTGCACCCCACACAAGGCAATGTGGATTTTCACTATTTTTGTTTCCTCTTTTTTGTAGGTCAAATGGTCATTCACTCTAATATTAGTTAAAATATTTTATTTTTGTAAGTTATATATTTAAAAAAATTACTCTTATTGTCAAGAAAACCAAAACTGCAGACAAAAACATTTGCAATATCTCAAACAGCTAACAAAAAGTACTCAACTTGCAGTTGTGTTGTATATTAAAAATTCCTTGCATGGAGAGGAAGTTAATGTACTACTGCCTTCAGTATAGGAGCACTTGTTATAACTACAAAATGATTTAAGGAGTAAACAAAGGATTGTGCCCTACACATAAAGCATAATTGTTTTTTCACAAATCTTCAGAGGTTACACATTTCCCAAACACTGCAGACCGATCTGCATACTATGCATATTCATGTACAATAATTGACTTCTTACAAATATGTATTATTTAAATTAACAAAAAATTAAAAACACATAAATAAACTAACATTAGGCTTAATTTTAATTAAGCAGAAGAAATAATTTGAATAATTAGCTCCATATTATATGTTACTTGAATAACGAGTTCTGATGCACTATTAAAACATGCTGAAATTAAAAAGAATATGTATTTTTAATAGTTATAATCAAAAATTTAACTTTTACATGAACTGGCACTCAAGAAAAGCAATGCTCGAAGAATTCCCAGCTTTTATGATGAAACTGATGTCAATGTCTGAAATAGGCTATTTATTGTATATTAAATAGTTTGTGCATATTCCTACATTTATTACAGTTTTACAATATTTTGATGTCAAAATGTCTACTACAATTTTCTTAGAGAGAAACTGTTCATGAACAAAAAATATAGGAAAAACACAACTTATAAAACGCCTCTGTAGTTCTTTTTATTATTCAGCATGTACATATAGGCCAAAGGCCTACCAAGACTACAATATCGGTCGCACTCTCCCCACATAAGTAAAGCCCCATGGCTTTCTCTTTGCAAAATAAATTATCTGTATTAAGGAATGAAGCATGCCATGATAATGGTAAAAGAAATACATGAAGCAGTTAAGGCTGACGCACATACACGTCTTAAGCAAAACAAGTAGCTTCCTCTTGTAAGCGCACTACTAACTGTACTAAGACAAACCACACTTTTCATGAATAATCAATACACTATATGCATGGAAATTTATAATTTAGCCACAGAGAATAACAGTATTAAATATTTTCAGCGAAAAATAAGTAACAAACAGCTACTAAAACAGAACTTCTGACTAAAATAATAAATTTCAAGTTAGATATAAGTATCACAGAATGCATATTAAATCAGTTTCAAAGTTTAGATGTCATTATGATACTATACAAATATGTGCACAATGGTTGAGTTATTACAAACACATTAAAATATCATTGGATAAATGAAAACTTTTACATTACAAATAGGGTTTTAAGACTATTAATACCCAGTATTACTGCAATATAGATGACTTTTTATAATATTAAGCATTAAATAAGTTACATCTCCAAAAGAGTGATACCACTGAAACTTACAAAACAATGCAGCCTCCTGACAATTACAGATAATATCTTCACATCTTTTAAAGAATATAGAGATTAATTATTCTGACAATACTAAGTAAAACACATTTTCTTGTGGCCATTATAACAGTAATTTTTTTTAATAAATATTAGTCCTATTGAGCATATTACATGACAAATTATAGCATTAAAACATGAAACAGGATTTTAAGACACTTAAAGAAATTTTTACACAAAATATTTGGCAGAGATGTAAAACAGTGATTAAAAAAGGATGAAAACACTTAAACAATATGGATATGGCAATGAATCTATAAAATTAAACAGTAAAAATAAATAATAGCTAATCTAATGAGAAAATTACATCAAATTGCTTATCAGGTTCAATAAACATAGTATGTTTCTGGGAGGAAACAAACTGCCATTTAAAAAAAAAAAAAAAAATCTATGCACTCTTTTTTTCATTTTTTTTCCCTCTTTTTTTACATGTGGTTTTTCAACAGGCAGTTAGAATACACAAAAAGAAGCTTTATATCTCCCAGAAAATTTATGTTTAAGTTAAAGAAATGAACATAAATATTTATGTCACAGGTAGATGCATTGCGAGTGGCATTATATGTAATGCCCACATGTTGTAAAATGTTAACAAGAAATTAAATATACAACTACATTTGTAAAGAATGAAATCCTACCTTTCCAGGCATTGTTGGATAAAAAATGAAATATTCTACATGACAAAAGGAACCATAGCCATATTCACTGGTACTCTGTACTCAACTATCTGCACACTGACTCAAAATTCCAAAAACCAGTAGCAAACAGTATAAACTACCTTTCTTCTAATAAAAATATTCACAATAATATACTTCAAAATATTTTAAATGTTGTCATATTACACATTACATTCCACTTAGAGCATAATGAGCTAACTATAAAGGCATTACATACAACGTCATTTTACATTTTGTTAAATATGATTACTATTTTTACACTGAATATAGTAATACATAAAGTGCATGTAGAAGCAGATCACAGATCAGCTGTGGGTTGAGTGCGAGTTATGTAGTCATTCAACTTCTGTCCAAATGGTGAATGCAACATAGGCTACAAACTTATCAAACAACAGTTGACACTGCTGTCTGTTGAATGGAAGAACGTGCAAGTTTTGGCACGTTCTCACAGCAAGCTCGCAAGAGAAGAACATCACATAGTCTCTAGCTAGTGGACTGATTTAAAATGTGAGAGGGGAAGTCTTGAATATGATTGCTGACATTCTTAGGATAACCAGTGTGTACAAAATAGTTTCAAAAAAGCACAGCAAAGAATTTTATGATGCAGTAATAATGCTAATGTTAATGGCTCCCATGTTCATCATTTATTAAAGGAAAACAGTAAGCCAGCCAAAAGATGAAGACCAGATATAAACTTTTCTCTTTAAAGACATCTTTTTAAAACTATATAAACATATACATAAAGTAATAACTCCTGAATGCAAAAATAACATGGGCTAGTTTGCTGGCAAGATTAGCAACTTTCTGGCATTTATCACAAAAAATAATACAAACAGCCAAAAATTAAAATGGGGGAGAATACAGAAGTTTCTCTCTCTCTCTCTCTATATATATATGCACACACGATATGTATATGCTATATTTAATAGATTACTGAGAATATATGCTGTATTTAATAGATTAATACACAATTTAACATCTCAATGCATTCAGTATAATAATTATATTACAGAGAAAGGGAGAAAATGAATATTTACACAAAAAATAGAAAGTTTACGTAATTTGAAAAACATGGGAACCACATTTAAACAATCATTAATTGTAATGCAATATCACGTGACTGATCAATATTTAGACTGATTACACTGGAAACACAGTAACTTCTATTTACTCAATGCAGTAAAAGGACATTGAAATTAAATTCCTTACATAAACAACATTAATGAAGATTCAGAGATTTGACAGCTATTAAAATGTGCAATTTTTTTTTAAAACCACAGATAAATGTATATATTAAAACTTTCAGAATGAGAATTAAGGCAAATTATATTACACAACCCAGAACAGATAATCAAGCCACACAAACTACTTAGATGAAATATACATTATATTAAATCAATGACCAATATATTTTCAGTTTGTTTTCTATTGTTAATTCTGAACACAAATTTTGGCCTATAATAATAATTTGTATGGAAGCTGCATACATGAGCATAAGCAGTGGTTCATAAGTTATACAATGCTGAAAAGTAAAAATCTATTAAAATATAACAATGCAGTGTACACCAACATCTTAATTTTTAACCAAATACTTCATATCTAAAAAGTGTATACAAATTACAAAATCTTAAACACAAAGGAAATGCAGCGAAATATTTTAGACCATTAGTTTGAAACAGGAAACTAAGGCAAATTTGAATATAAAGGTAATGATGAATAAAATATGTTTAATTTTTTAATATTTTCACAACTATATGTTCACAAGCAGTTCCAAATTGAAGAACACGCATTATACATTAAAATGTTTTAACATATAACGTTATTTCCAAACATTTATTTGCAGAAAAAAGAAGGTTTAAAGTTGAAATCTCTGTTAAATTACAAAAATGTAGTATGCATGTGACTATGATAAAAACAGAAAACAGAAACCCATCCATTCTTATTAAAATATAAATTTTGAAATTTCAAACATTAATTACAGAATTAGTTTTCAGACGATGAAAGCCACAGTGAAAGAGCAGATCCGAACATTTTCCACAACATTTACAATTCATTTCAAAAACAAAAAAATTATTTAAAATCAGTTACAGGTGTCCAAAAACTATACCAATCCTTCAAAGATATTTTTTGAGAGTCATAAAAACAATGAAAATTTTTTTGCCTGTGAATCATATCTTTATAAAAAATATACTAGTATTCTGGAAAATTTTGGAACACAAGCATTAAGGCAAATGTTTTATAGCAGAAAATATTCCAACACATGCAGAAATCTAACAATCTGAAATATAAGATACTGTCTATAGACAGCGAAAAGTCCTACATTTCATTCTTACCATGCATACTTAGAAAAATATTCTGAATTTTACAGCCCAGACTACTAACATTTCATTTTTAAAAAAATTTCCTCTAAAAACAATTTTTAAATATTAACAAAAAATGTGAAGTGGAATGAAATAGTACATCAAAGAATGAAATCTTAAAAAGTCCTAAGCATTATATCTTTGGTTATATATTAGCTCATCTATCAAATATAATGAGCGTTTATTATACTCTTTATCTGATTCAATACTTGATATTTCCTACAAACATTTAGAACAAATAATACAATCAAAATCAATATTTTCTATTTACCTGGAAAAATTGCTTGCACACAAGAAAAAATCTACCTAATTATTTACAGCTCTATTTGAATTACTCAATGGTTGTCAAACCCAATTTATACATCATGTTCTTGCAATTGGATACTCTCATATCCATATCAGCTAAATGTCTATAACAGAGAAGGGGGGAAAAAAATTGAAAATTCAAAGTATTACTTTTCGATTGTCTTTCAAACAGTCTGAGGGGAAAAGAGACAATTAGACAACGTTGCAACAAGATAGACTAGCTTAAATATGCCCCTCGCAGACTGCATTCGATACTAAAAAATGACAGGAACTCAGTATTATTCAAACTACTTAAAACAAGATAATAAAATAGCTTCCTTCAAACACATTGAGAAGGTGGATATTAAAAAGTACAATAATATTACTATTTTGATGCAAGAGACCTTTCTAGCTTGTTAGTTTCACTCATAAAGACATATTTATCTTTCTTATAAAACAAATATGCTAATATAATTAAAGCAGATAAATGTTATATGCATACTTAATTACAAACTTCATGTTTTTTGGCTATCAGCATCCATATCTTCAAATTTCATAATATTTTTATTCTGGTAAAAATTATTATGAATGAATACACACTTCCTCTAATGAACAGTTATTATTATAAGAACCAATATATTTCAGGAAAAATCAACTTCCTAATTAATAATAGTTGTTATACTACAGTCGCACTATTAAAATTACAACATGCTTAAGTTAATGGAAACACTCCATTGTTCACCATTATGATAGATCTTTACACTGTGTATTTTTAGACATTTGGAAATTAATATTGTGTAACCCGCACACCATGTGAAAGCACTTTTATCTGGCTGAAGATGCAAACAATAGAGCATTAAATAATTATTATTTTGTTCTGTTGGTTTATATCACTTAGACTACATATAATTATGCTATTTCTTAATTCAAATTAATATTCCAAAATAGTTTAAAAAATTTTTAATTTCTTTTTTAATAACCTTTATTTTCCGCATGTAGAAAACATATACACAGGATGAAAAGCTTCATGAAATATTTTATACATGTACAGAGAACTGAAAATTAGTTTTCAGACACATGAAAGATATATATAACATTTGAAAACAGTTGCAAAGCTGCCATAGTAATATGCATTAACTGCACCTATACTTTTAGCAGGAATAAAAATTAGAAGACTCTTTCATCAAACTATATCTGATGCATATTTTTTAATACTTTTCTGCATTATGCATGAAAATACTAGAATCCCCTTTCTGAATCACAGCAGTCAATAATATGAATGTTCATAAAGTTAACAACAACAAGCTTGCAATAAAAACATTGGCTTCAAGATGTTAAAATAAATTACAAAGTTAAAATTCATTAAAAAAATTACTGTTCATCCTTGAATTCATTTGTGCTTGTTCTTGAAAAATAATATCTACCTTTTAAGATAGCCATTTTTAAATAAATAATACAAATACAATATAAAATCTTGCAAGAAACATTGGATTAGGTCATGCTAATCTAATAAAAATAATTAATCATCTGTGACCAAAGTGAAACAATTTATAATACAACTCATACAATATAATATTAATCTCACAAAAAAATTTCATTTTTGGCCTTGCAAATTTTTCAGATGCTCACAGTAAACATTCATGTGTGGACCACAAGAAATATAATTTAAAATGAATAACTAATACAATATTAATCTCACAAGAGAATGTCAGATTTTGGCCATTTAATTTGTAAAATATTCACAATAAATACACATACAAAGAAAACATGTACAGCAGTCAAGTATGGTTTTTGTCCCCAAATATGAAACATTATTTCAATATTTTTAATGTGAAACTAATGTTTAAAAACAAAATAAAATTCTACAATGAGAACAACAAATAAAATGCAATATAGAACTTGAAAAGAACTTCAGTTTCATGAGACTAAATTCAGAAAATAATAAGTTAAATCGTATCATCTTTAAAAAGAAACTGGTTTCTAAATTCTTGCTACTTTCAAGAAACAAAGTAAAACAGGCTGCTTTGAGAAATTATCATAATTTACATTTTCCTTTACAGAGTTTATAGCACCATTGAAATTATTTTATATAAACTAGTGTTTTTTAAATTTAAACCAGAACATCCTTAATTATCCTTTCAACAAACAATATTTAATAATGATATAATATCCAGTGTTTATATTGCATTTCAGTCACATTTTTGGTTTGATTTACATAAAATTTAGAAAAATGGACAATATCAGTTTTTACTTTTCTTTGGTCTAACTTGGAACATTCTGTCTCAGATTGATAGTTAAGTAAAAATTGTATTATTATATAGTTCACAAAATTAATTTTTACATACAATTTATATCTTTCGAGCATTAGCAACAATTTATATATATTTAATATGTGTAGCACCATACACTATATTTTAAAGGGTTGTCTCTCTGGTAGAGCTATCAAAACATTTTTCTCTCCTAAGAATGCCACAGCACTCAAAAACACACAATTTCAATCACACTCATATGCACATACTGGAAATGCACATGCACCTTAAGACTGCCCGTTCTTCATGTTCATTGATGTATCACAGTACGCCTCTGGGCGCCATTTCTTTTATAAAACAGAAAATACCTGGTGCACAAGCTGCAGAAATGATACACAAGGAGAACAATGACTTAATTTATAATTTCTCTAATAAAATTTGATAACCAATCTAACTTGGACCAAGATAGTTGGCAACAGAAAAAGAATTGAGAAAACAGGGAAACAAATGCATAACTCTGAGGCACTGTGAACATTAGGCCTTTCGACACATGATGGTAAAAGCACAGGCTGCATAGAAGCCTTGCTAATATTTGCAGGACACAGGAAGAGCGATATCGCTGTCGATGACCTTGCCCGATCTCTAATGAAAACGGGTAGATTATCACAACTATGGGCAAATGAAAGACTTAAGTCTTTTTGACCATCAAACATCACTATTTTGTTGCCTACTAACTGTATTTATGTCCCATTGATTAACTACATCACTATAAGGAGGAGGTGGGTCAGTGCTATCATATTTACTATCTGTTACAACTTGCGTACAGCCATACGTCCTGTTTGAGTTCCCGCTGGTACCAGACATGCGAGAGTTCATGGCGACTGATGATGGTAACCAAATGTGTGAGGAAACATTAGGATTTGAAACAGGAGTGCATTGTCCCCGTGGATAGCCCAGCTTCCCACCCTGGGCATTGCTTGAACTCACGCTGTGGGACCGCGTGACTAGAACAGCCGTATCTGTTTGAGTCAGTGGTGGTGTAGAAGGTTTCTGCAGGAGGCCTACGGAATTAGACCGGAAAGGCGGAAGAGAACTGCCATCTGGAACGGTCCGATTTGGTGGTGGTCTTATAAAGCTACGTGTGATTTCTGCATGTTGCTCTGGATCTTGCAATTTTAGAAATTTTGTGTCACATCGTGGGCCTTCTTCACCATCAGGCAAAGCGATGGAATGGGGAAGGTTTAATGCCAAATCCGTCTGAACTGAATGTAACCTAACAAGATGATCTTGATGTGCTCCTGCCTCAAATCGTTGCCTTTCTTGAACAGTTGCAGGTGTGTACATCATCTGAAATACATATTAAATCAAATATTTTAATGATGCATGAAGGATTCATTTATATAGATCAGCTATAAAATTACAAAAAATCAAGTGCAATTTTTTTAATGGAATAAAAGAACATCTATATAAATGTTTACTTTTCATATAGTCTGAAGGAAAGACAAGGACCATAGCACAAAATCAACAATTACACTACACATGGAGAAAATGATGATACAAGCAAGGATGTCCAACTAGCAGTTCATATATAGCCTGCATCACCCCCAAAAAAGAATGGCATGATGAATGTGTGCAACACTGAATTTGAAAATAACAATGGTCAAGAAAGACTGCTTACTTAAATGAAAATATATCTTTAATTCCAAGATTAACTATTAAAAAGAAATAAAATATTCTATACTCTGTCTATCATGAGAACTATGTCCAGCAGTATGTCTAACTGGAGATGGTCACTACAGTAACAGGCATCACACATTTTAAGTGGGGATAAGTCAGGTGAGATTCATTTTTAGTTTTTGGTAAATGCTGGCTGTGGGAAAGACAAAATGTTATAATGCATATTTACTTAACCCTCTAAGCGGCAAGGCCATATACATACAGCCTTAGAATATTTTTTGTGATATCAGTAAGAACATATATATACGTGCATATTAAAATATGTCAAAGAAATTAAGGCAATACATCAAATGTATACAAATCCACTAGAGTTTTTACACTAAAATAAAAAAATAATTTGTTCTCAGTAGTTTTGGGAAATTTGTGCTTTCTTAGGGAAAACTCTGGCCGCTCAGAGGTTTAAAGCAAAAAATCAAAAACCATATACTGTCAACTTGTCATTATGCACATCAAAATGGCAAACTTAAATACATTCTTTTCCAAGACACTCCTATAATAAATACATGAATTAATGGCCATTCTATGGCAAGACAACTATAGACATTCTGTCAGGACATGTTCTTATTGTAGACAAGTAGTAGGTTTAAGACACTGCAATTTATATACTATATATAAACAATACTATCCTAACAGGCCAGTTTTATTTGTTTAAATACTGTGACATGCATTCAGATTGAACCGCATATATTCTAAAGAAAACAAATTCTATATATATATTAATAAAGTAATAGTTTTATGTGGCCCATTGGTACATAAAACTTTGGTAGAAAGAATAGTTTTTGTCAAAGCGGAAAAAACTAATTATGGTCTGAAAAACAGGATAAAAATGTAATTTTATGTTTTACAAACATATTACATGACATTAGGGAAAATTTATGAAGTTAATAAAATAAATCGCAGTCCTACCCACAAAACGAACTTTTATTTTATATGATGGTGCTCTAGGAATTCAAATACTGCTGAGATGGGAGCTTTTACAGATCTGCTAAATTTCTAATTTTAAACATGGTTTTAATGTGTAACCTACACTACTTCATTTTAATTTCCTTTTCACTAGATATGCTTTCTGGTTCTTCAAAATTTCAAATTTTTAGTAAGGCATTTAATTGGAATAACTTTACAAGTAGTAATTGTTACAAGCCATAATTATTACACTTTTATGAGTTTATAAATATATAAAAAGTAAAATCAGAAAAAGTTTAGATGAATATCCTGATAAATACCATTTGTAATCACTGTTATTTCTATAACAGTAGACAAAGATGCATAAGTATTCAAGATACATGCTCAGTGTCTACAATTAACATGTTATGTTCATATGCTTTCCCAATAACTATCATCTCAGTTAAAAATTATAAGTAATTTTATTGGACACATTAAGAGTATAAATTATACTGTGATCATAATTCATTAAATTTTGTTTGTGGTCCTTGGCATTATATTTAGCAAGTACTTGGTGCATTACTGGCCATGTGGTTCAAAACATTTGCAAAAAAGTCATGTTCACATGCAAGAGATTTACAAGTACTAAATTTGGTTATTAAGAGGGAATTAGTATGCCATCTAAAAAAGACACATGATGTGATATTATAGTTTATACTGTAGTGAAAATGGAGTTCAAGCATTTTTTACTATTTAGCATAATGTCACTTTTTGAGCATTGGAAGTTTAGTAGTGAAATTCAGATTTTGTTGATCAGAAAGATTCCTGTCAAGCAATAGCTACTTTTGTCAGATTTTTCATCTTATTACCTGAATGTCCCTCTTATCAAGATAATTCTATAAGGGCCAATGATCTCAGTCAAATTACACTATCCAAAATGGCATAACTCAAGACTCGAAACTGGACCTAAGAAGGAAGAGACATTTATAGACTGCAGTAATCGACCCTATCTTCGCCGGCTTGGGCCGCCATCAGAGATAAGGACTTGGAAAAATTGCAGATTACTCAAAATAAACTTCTTCGGACCATGACCAATGCGCATTTCTTCGGCTCGAACAGGACTCTGTATGAAGACTTGAAAATTGAACCGATCCTCACTTTCTTGCATAAATTGAATCCTAACTTCTTTACGAGAGCTCTAAACTGCCCTCATAAGAAAAATCTTAAGGTGTTTGATTATATAATACTGGAGGAAGATAAAGAGTTGAGACTACTAGCCGCTCACCTCACCCGTGACTTAAACTTCCCGACATAGCATGCATTTCAATTTGTAAATAGTGTATATACTGTAAATATGTTTTTCTTTTCTCACTTGCCATGCATTTACAACTACATAATATCTTATATATAATGTACTTTAATATATGTGGATTTGTATCTCATTTTCTATATCATATGTTAACAATTACTTCATTTCAATCACGTCTTCGGACTTTACTTATCAGGAATAGCTACTTAAGGATGTAGTCCTTGCACTCTTAGCGCTTTCAACCTCTCCAAAGCAATCTGCTCCTAGGCTCCGCCCTGTTCGCTATTTGTTTGGCTTTAGCTCCTCCCCGTACCTTGTGACTTATGGTCACTCCCTCTTCTCTCACCTCAGACCTCCCACCCTACCTGCCTAGACACTTTGAAACTCAGGTGTCCACTGGACTGATTTTAGAGAGCTGGCAACAGCGATAATTGTTCTGATCTCCAGAAAAGTCAACTTCTGGAACAAGATGCATGAATTTAGATAGATGTAACTTTAAAGATGAGTACATAACAATTTTTTAAATAAAATTACAGTACACACGTTTTCTGAAAACTTTTGAAGGTGGGGGTATATTTTGTGAAAAAAGCACTGTGTTGAAGTCTGCTGGAATGAATACTGAATAAAAAATAACCTTAAATAATCCAAATAAACTGCAATATAAAAATAAAAAACTGAAAGCAGGACTACAAGTAAAACTTAAGATCACCAAAAGATGCTTTATATAAACACTAAACATAATATTTTTTAAAGCACATAAATTATTTAAACAAATTAAAACACATGGTATTTTTTAAAAAGAACACATGGGAAATTTATAAAAGTGTCTAACACTCTTCCATGCCTCTAGAACATTTTACTTCTGGTAGTTATAATTTCCTTATAAAATGTATTGTGGTGCAGCAAAGTTTTAGTATTATAAAAAATATAGCAGTTGGTAACAGTTTATTTTAAAAGCACACCAGCATTTAAAAAAATCTGCAGCAATATTAATACAACATTTAAAAATTGTAGAACTTCTGAGCAGCATGTCACAGAAATCTGAACAATTTCGAAACATATTTCTCACTAAATCCGTATAAAAATATATTTTAAAGTAGAAGACTGATAAAAAAGAAATAGAACAAAGAAAATAAAATTCTGAAACTCATCTAGCTGAAATCCTCACAATAGTTTCTTTCCACATCTGTCCACCAAATCCCAGTGATTTCTAATTGACTGACTGACTATCTCAACTATGTCTATCACTCCCTGATTTGGGCTGAATGCCCTCCATAATCATCACAGGCATTGAGATTGATTCATAATTAATTGCCTGAATTAAAGTAGCAGTAGCTTAGATTCCTCAAAACTACAAAGATCAATAGAAACTAGATATGCAGTGAAAACAACCTTGAATTCCACTCTTCAGTCTGAATGGAATAGTGTATTTATAGTTTGTACGTTGAAGTATCAGAGTCAATTAAGGCAAAGTCAGTTTATAAAGTATTTTCTCCCTCTTTAACAAGTGCTTTCTATGGAGTAATTGGAAAACATGTCCAGCTAGCAATCAGAAGATCTGGAGTTCATATCTTGGCAAGGACCTTGCACATTTTTCACATCTCCTGCTTCAAGATACCTAACAGACTCTACAAGTTGAGAGAGTATATTTGTCACATAAGACCACATTTGTATAAGATTTGGTTACATCATCACGATAAGCCAAGCTTAAATGCCATGAATATGTAACAGTTTTTGTTAGCAATGGAACTTTTAACAGCCATCCATCTTTACTTTTACTTGGATATGACATCTTGCAAAAGACATTTAGGCAAAGTTATTGAATGTGATACCCACACTTTAGGTAGTAATCAATTAAAATTCTTTTAGGAGAGGTTTTATTTGTGATATAATAGTTAAGACTAATGCATAAATGGAAAAGGGGCTTACTTTGGTGGGGATGACAACCAGCTGTAATTCAGATTAACCATTTAATTAACACTTGTGTTATTTGAGTAATTTTTTTTTTTTTTTTTTTTTTTTTTTTTTTTTTTTTTTTTTTTTGTAGTAGGTTCCAGGAATAAAGATATAATGGATGTTTCAAGCACATTTATCTTTTTTTGAATTATTTTTTGATGAACTGATCGTGCTTCATATTGTTACTGAAACTAACCCTTTTGCAGACGAGTATATGAAGCAACACCTTTCAAACAAAAAATCAAGAACAAAATCGTGGCATTCAACTAGTTCAGAAGAAATGTTTTTTTAGGCATACTGATTTCACAAGGTATAACACTGAAATCTGATATTACACTTTACTGGTCTAAAAATGAATTGATGGAAACTCCATTTTAGGGAATCTTTTTTTATTATAAAAACATCATTTTTATTACTTTTAATACTTATATCCTTTTATATACTTTTACTCAAAACATTAAAT